TCTTCTCTCTTCTCTCTCTTCTCTCTTCACTCTTCTCTCTTCACTCTTCTCTCTTCACTCTTCTCTCTTCACTCTTCTCTCTTCACTCTTCTCTCTTCACTCTTCTCTCTTTCACTCTTCTCTCTTCACTCTTCTCTTCTTCTCTCTCTCTTCTCTCTTCTCTTCTCTTCTCTCTTCTTCTTCTTCTCTCTTCTCTTCTCTTCTCTCTCTCTCTCTCTTCTCTCTTCTCTCTTCTCTCTTCTCTTCTTCACTCTTCTTCTCTTCACTCTTCACTCTTCTCTCTCTCTTCTTCTTCTCTCTTCTCTTCTTCTTCTCTCTTCTTCTCTTCTTCTCTCTTCTCTCTCTTCTTCTCTCTTCTCTTCTTCTTCTCTCTTCTCTTCTTCTCTCTTCTCTTCTTCTCTTCTTCTCTCTCTCTTCTCTCTTCTTCTCTTCTTCTTCTTCTTCTTCTTCTCTCTTCTTCTCTTCTTCTTCTTCTTCTCCTTCTTCTCTCTTCTCTCTTCTCCTTCTTCTTCTTCTCTTCTCTTCTTCTTCTCTCTCTTCTTCTCTCTTCTTCTTCTTCTCTTCTTCTTCTCTCTCTCTTCTTCTTCTCTCTTCTTCTTCTTCTCTTCTTCTTCTCTCTTCTTCTTCTTCTCTTCTTCTTCTTCTCTTCTTCTTCTTTCTCTCTTCTTTCTCTCTCTCTCTTCTTCTTTCTTCTTCTCTTCTTCTTCTCTTCTCTCTTCTTCTCTCTTCTCTCTTCTTCTCTTCTCTCATCTCCAAGACACGGGGTGTAGTGTTTTTTGTTTACCAAGAACTTGGAGGGCTGACTGGACTTGTGGAGATAAAACAACTGTGCACAGGACATAAATTATAGAACAAAAAGCTTTCAATGGCTTAAATGACCAAAAGAACGCAAATAGGAGTTATTGTTAGGATTCACATGTAGTTTAATTATGCAAGAGAAGCTTGCAAAATGGTTGCAGTATGCATCTTGGTCCACAGGCAATTCCATTCCTCAACATAAACTAAAAACTGAAGTATTCCATAATGTACATTGCTGTTTATCTGTAAAGTCGTTCTAGTTGGAGGTATGACAGATCTGATATGTCCCTGGTTTATAGTAACTATGTCTTATATGTTCTTTTCAGCAGGGTCCACCTGGATCTCAGCCATCTCCTCATGCACAGCCACCACCCTCACAACCCCAACATGATGGGTCCTCACAGTCAGGTATGTGACTCATTTAGAATCTTACATTAAATATTCAGTGTCACCTGGAGTCAAATGGTATTCTGGAGCTGCCATCTTGAAATTGCCTCATGCTGCGTAGAGTGCTTACTTTCTGGTTTTCTTTTTAAAGACGTGCTCTGCTCTGCTTTTATGTGAGACTTTGGACACTCAAATGCATGGACAGGTTTTTGGAAAATAGAGAATGTTGGTATCACTTGGCCAGCCTACCACAAAAAAAAAAAACAAAACTGGGCTGTCCTATTACTTTGGCATGGCTCCAGTTCCAGGTTGCTATCCACAATGTGGTTTGCATCAGTTTGTTTAAATTCCTCTGCTTAACTTCACAAAGTTGAACTGATTATTCTGTGGGGGCAGATTCACACTGTTGAGGCGCAATGCTACACATGCATTGATTGGTGTTGTATTAGGGCTGCCTATGCATATCACACCAGTACCTTTTTTATCTTTTTAAGTAGCCAATCACAACACATCTGGTAAAGTGCTTTGTAGTGCCATCCAATACGATTGGCAATGCAGCACACTGTAATTTGCCTGTAATGCTTGGTCAGAATCCAGGCTTTGGATCCAATTTCTGTTTTTTAATAGAATGAACATTTTCCTCCTGCAGCCGCTGAATGCTGCCGGGAGGGAGAAAAGGAGATGCCTGCTTTAAGCGGTTGCAGAAAGAAAATAGAGGGGATCAGTTCCAAAAGTTTTTTTCTTTTCATGGTTGCTTGAGGTTCCTCTCTAATTTGCAGCTATCAGGCATAGTTATCTTCATCCTGACTTTTGGTGTACCTCATCCAGGTCCCATGGGACTGAATGTTACAGAGGTAGCCTGGAGTTGACTTTTGGGCCCTAGATTCCACATTGGGGTTTTCCAGTTCAGAGCTGCCAACATTGCCTCAGTGCTTGCCCTGTATGTGAAGACTTGGTCCAGCTATACCCGTTGCCACCAGCTCACTTTCTGCTAAAGGTTAAGGGGATGCTTGCAATGGGCCTCCTGATGGTGCCAACGTCTGCAGCCTAGAGTCATTCTGTAGTCCCTCCCATCCTCTAGAGTCCTGTTTGGCTCCCTCAGATGTGGTTGGGTCTGATACCCTTTGACGGAGGTTTTTGCTATAAGAGACAGCAAATAACTGGGTAATTTGGGTCAAAACATTAATGACTGTAGCAGAGGCCACAAGAGCACTTCAGCACCTTCTGCAGCAAATTCTGTATGTGATTTACCAGCAGCCTTAGCTTCAGATACGGAGTTGCTCAAGTCTGATACGTTTGATGTTTTCCCACAGTCTTCTGCTATCACTCTTAAGTTAAAGGAGACTGTTTGGCTCTTATTGATGCAATGTGCTCCCCTTTTGAAGCTGGAGGATCACCCTGTTGCTTCTACTAGTACTGTTTTCCAGGTTTGGGTCCTTTAAAAATCCTTAAGGATGCAAGACTTGCTGTTTTGCATGTTTTTCAAACTTTTTTGAGATAAGAGATTGGAAGATTCCTGATAAGTTGTTTGCTCCCCCAAGCTCTTGCTAGTGTTGTATCCTTTTTTGTGAGGATTTTGTTCAGAAGTGGTTTGTTCCCACTTTGTATGCATGAATGTCTTGCCATACCAAGGGTGCTGTCCATACCGGTGCAGTCTGTCTTTTAAAGGATTTAAATCATTCAGACTACAATAAGCCTGCTGCAGTGGCAGACGGTACTTGTAGTTTTTTCATTCACAGACTGATGCGGCTTTGTGGGCAGAGCCTCATACAGTGCACAGTTTTCAAAATATTACAGCCAGTGTGGAGAGAAGATCCTTCTCCTGCTGTCACAGAGCGGGGAGCACAGGCAGTGGTAGGCAGGTGCATAGGAGCATTGTACACCTTTAATATGGGTATAACATGTAACGTGCTTCCTACAACCCAACTGACCATTCTTGCTGGGGGAGTCCTGCTCTACACTCTATCATGGCTGTGACTTTATTTTGTTTAAAGTATAGCTAAAGGCAAAATTTATTTTCAGTTTTGGAAAAGCTTGAGATGGATTTGAACATCTGTTTTTATTCCTGTGTGCTGTGTCCCCATTAGGCAAATTTATCCTCTGTTTATCTTGTTTACCATTGTCATCAAAGGTGAAAATAAAAAAAAACCCACATTTTTTGTTGTCCCCAGAAAAGTAATAGAGGGGAAATTTTCCAATGGGGACACTAGTTTGCAGATTTTCTCACTTCCTGTTTTGGCTATGGGACAGGAAGTAAAGGCAAATCTCACCAAAGGGACACAGATGACAAAAATAAACTGAGGGGTTCTAGCCCTTCCTTACTCTATCCAAAATTAAACAAGTTTTGCGTATAGTTCTACTTTAAGCACTCTTAACTGTTTTAAAATCCCTTAAGAGACCTAGTCACTGTGGAAGTTGATCCCTTGTTTAATGTGTGAAGCAGATAGCTGTAGCATTAAATTTCAGCTATGACTGTTTCTTGAAGCATCCCATGTCATCTCTTTCATATGCCTCCTGTTAGTGCATATGCTTAGGGCACTCAGGACTGGACTATGGAACATTGATTCAAGTGTGATCTGCATGGCCTTCAATGGACAATGTTTCTTTAGACATGTTCTTGATAACATTATCAAGAATGCTACTAGTGGCAAGAACGCCGATCTTCTCTAGCAAAACAAGCCTAAACAGCAGACTGAAGTTCTCTCCCACTCTGGCTGTTAAGAAATGTCCCTTCTGCTTCTTAATTCCCCTGACTTCAACATCAAGCTCTCCAAGTTTGGTTCTACATCCACCTACAAGGCCTGGCATTCCAAGTCTGCCAAATCCTCAATCGAGCCTTCCTCCACGGTTCTTGAGTAGGGGATGTCTAATCTTGGCAGATGTGTGGACAACTTGTATTCCAAATGCCTTGGTGCGGAAGGCGGTGTCCCAGAGCTACAATCTGAAGTTTGTTCTGTCTTCCCTCTCCTTGTCGCTTTCAATTTTCCTATACCTCCGCACAGACTCACAGATCTTCAAGCCCTTCCTCGTCTTCTGGATCAAGGTGCCTTTGCCCCAGTGCCTATGGCAGAATGCTTCTTGGGGTTTTACCTCAACCTGCTTGTTATTACCAAGCTGAAATAATGCTTTTCTCCCTCCTGTGATCTTGGAGCTCTGTGGGATAAGTATATCCTGATCTATGCCTTTCCCTCCTCTCTCAAAAGGTCTTTCTTGTCTGCTCTACAAGATTGAGATAATGGGCATTCCATTGTTGATGTATGATTTGTGCTGTGCAAGTTGTTCTGTGTGTCCAATCTAATCATTGGTAGTGTGATCTCTGTAACTTACAGTTGTTATGAGATAGCGATAACTTCAACCTCAGTTGGGGTCCACAGTCAGTGACTCAATCAGAATGATGTCTTGCAGATGTAAGTTTATTCTCATTTAACTGTGATAAATCTTACAACAATAAACATTCGATAGGTCAAAAGAACATACTGCTTCTGTTTCTTGCCATGAGGCTGCTGCAATGCATCTCTGGGGGGGGGGGGGGGGGGGGCTTCTATCTATGCAACATTAGCTAAACTAAAGGAAAGGGAGGAGCAGAGACAAAACACTGAAAACATTTAAATGGCATATCAGTCAATGTGACAGTCATGTGAAACATGACACAAGTCCATAACTTTGTTTTCCGCAGAAACCTTTCCAATTCGATATACTGTCTCAATCTTTACATTAGATTTTTGCTTTATGAATGTTTAACATTTTCACTCGAAATCTTAATATGCTTTAACATACATTCTGAATTATATCGTGTTCCCATATTACAGCCTTTTATGTCACCTCGATATGGTGGAGGACCCAGGCCGCACATAAGAATGGCAAGTCAGGCAAGTTATCTTTTTAGATATTTATCACCCTCCACACATACATGGATTTAATACTGATGCAGTGATTTAACTGTTAACACATTTTTTTTTACCCATAGTTGTGCTCTCAATGGTTGTTGTATCAATAATGTGCTTTTGTTAACAGCCACCAGGTGGAGTTCCAGGATCACAGCCCTTATTACCAAACTCCATGGACCCAACCCGACAAGGTAACTGGTCAAAAAACTGGCATTTGGTTCTTTTCCACTTTTGTGGGAATGTCTCATTAGCTTGTTTTTTTTTTATTTTATTCTAAAGGACACCCTGGCATGGGAGGACCCATGCAAAGGATGAATCCCCCCCGACCGATGGGCCCCATGGGTCCTGGACCTCAGGTGAGAATACAGATTTTAATTACCCTGCTGTATCTCTCATACATTGGAGATTAACGTGACCTTATTTACCTGCGACAGGGCCTTTATGCTAGAGCTGGTCTCTTCCTGTGATTCTCATGTTGTCATTTCGTTGTGATGGAACTAGTGATTTTTTTTTTTTTTTTGTAATATTTTGCCATTGCAGGGCGTTGTTGGGCGAGTGAGTGTTTTTGCTTTGAAACATTTAGTCCTAAAATTAACTCTGCAGGAGTTTACTTAAAATTGGAAATATTGCCAACAGCCTCATTAATGAGCAGTCAATATCATCAATCCATTAGTTTATGGAGAAGATTAAGCGCTAATGCTTTACACGGTTCATCTACAGTGCGGCTCTGGGCATTTTTCAGAGACTGATTCCACAGTCATTTTGAGTAAAAAAATCTTCAGTGTTCTAAATCTCCAATAGAGACTTGTGTGTTATTGTCTGGTGTTCATTGCAGACCAAACATCCAGCAAACGCAGTGGGCGCGTGCACAACCAAGTACGGTCATCATACAGTTATTTATTTTTACTACACCTGTAGGGTACCCATGATCATAATAGGTTGTCAATCATTTCTTACTTATACACAATGAATTATTGCCATATTAGGAGTAAAACTACTTAATCCAGTTGTATGTACACCTTAAAGATGCCCATTTATTTACATAGAATATTTAAAATTTTAATACACTTTTTTCTGCAAATATATTTTTTGGGCAACTTTTTCCATAGAAATGTTTGACTGTTTTAACTTAGAGGATGTAAAACCTAACGAAAAGTAGCTATTTTGTGGTGTTGTATAGCTCTATACAGCTCTGGGCTTCATTCCGGGTATTGGCCCTTGCACAGAAGCAGATCCAGGCTCTCTTTAGGTATTGGCTCTGGCAGAGAACCTTTACAGGGGGTAGGATCTTTGTAGAGGTAGAGCCCAAAATTGGATACCCCTAGCTCAGCAGCCACTCTGGTTGTGCCTGCATACAGATTCTTGACATCTGTTCTCAGATGAATTTTAGAAGGTCCCCATAAAGTGGATATGATACACAGGAGACACACTGTCTTCTAACTTACTTCAAAAGTGGTAAACTCTTCTAAGGCCTCATTCACGTGGGTAATACCGATCATACACCAAGAGAAGGGGTTGTCTTCAGCTGCCTGGGATGCACAGATGTCCCCTTTAGGGGCATGCAGGCAGCCTGTTTAAATCACTGGCAGGTGGTTGGCTGTGTGGACCTCCATGCACATCCCTGAGTGTATATCCCCGTGGGTCAGATTTATGGATTAGAATAAAGATAGACTGCATTCTGATCCATGCATTGCACCCATACGGATGTGCACTCTGGGATGTGCATGGAGGTCCATAAAGCTAGCTGCCTGTTGATTTATACAGGCTGCCTGCATGCCCCTACATGGAACATCTGTGCATCCTGGGTGGCCGAAGGTGGCCCTTAGCACATGCTTACGGATCAGTACATATGCACGAATGAGGCCTTATTGTTGATAAACCGTGTATTGCATGTTTGATTTAAAAAAAAAAAAAAAAAAGGGGAAAATGTGGCCTGCTGTAAACAAGGTCCAAAAAAAGCAATAGTGAAAACGACCCCAGAAACTATTTAAAAAAAAAAAAAAAAAAAAGTTTGGAACTTGCATTAAACTTATTTCAAGTGATAAGTCCTCTTTTACATGTCTTCCGCAATAGATATGTCACCTCTACAACATAGAAAACAGGGACATGATGTCATGAAAAAGCTGATTAAAAGAAGCAGGTTACTTCTGGCACTTTAGAAGCAGGAACACTGTAGGGCAGGCTTTGTTGTTCCGAACCTTGTGATTGACAGGAGACATCCGAAGAAACTTATATAATTAAACTTGCATGAATCTAATGGCTGATTTTATCCCTCTGTGGGATGGCGAGGCTGGCTGATTCCTTGACTGTCAGGCAGTTAATGCATTGTGTCCTGTCATCTGAAATGTGGATCAATGCAAGCGTTAATCATATTAGCCTCTGACTAACTATGATAATGATCCTGCTGCTCTTTGCATCATTTGCATTATTAGTCAATAATTGTACTGTTACTAGATGGCTCTTCAGTCTGCACCACTAACCCTCTCATTTTCTTCTCTCCCACCTCTCTCCGGTTGATCCCTCGTTACCGTAGTCTGACCCTTGGTTATCATTGCAGAATTATGGAAGCGGGATGCGGCCTCCACCCAATTCATTAGGTCCCGGCATGAAACATGTAAGCAGTGGGCCACAAGGGAATTCTGGGTTGTTGGTTTACTGTGTCAAGGAAGTTTGCTTTAATGCTTTCTTGTATTGTTTCAGGGGTCCAGGAACAGGCAGACCATGGCCAAATCCAAATAATGCAAATTCAGTAAGTGTCAGTTCAAAGCAAGCTTAAACACTTTGGGTTTTGCTCAAATTTACCTCTCCACCCCCACTTTCTCCGCCCGCATCACTCACCTCCTAAACAACATCTCAGACTTGATGTCGCTACATTTCCTCAAGCTTAACCTCTCCAAAACCGAGCTCCTCGTTTTTCCCCCTGCCCCCCCCCCATCCTATCCATCATCACCAACAACACCACTATCATTCCCGCCCCACAAGCCAAAGTCCTTGGTGTCATTCTTGACTCGAACCTCTCCTTCCAACCTCATGTCAAATCACTTACAAACACATGCAGGCTCCACCTCCACAACATCGCCAAGATACGCTCCTTCCTTACCCCAGACACCACTAAACTACTCGTACACTCCCTGATTATCTCACGCCTTGACTACTGCAACTCCCTCCTCAACGGCCTACCTCAGTGCAAGCTCTCCCCGCTTCAGACCATCCTGAACTTAGCGGCTAGACCAGCAATGGGCAAACTACGGCCCGCGGGCCGTATACGGCCCGGCGGACCTTTTAATCCGGCCCGCGGAGCTAGGCTCCCGCAAGGCCAGTGGTCGGCAAGCCGCGGCTCTTTACAATAGATGCGGCTCTCCTGTGTGCCGGGCGCCCGCTCCCCTCCCTCCTCTCGGGCGGGCGGGCGACCTCCTCTCCTCCTCTCCCCTCCCCTCCTCTCGGATGGCCGCCCCCCCTCTAGGATGGCCGCCCCCTCCCTCCTCTCGGGCGTCAGGACTCTGCAGCTGTCAGGATGTAGGCGGGGCAGCCAGGATGTAGGCGGGGCAGCGTGACGAACTCTTCTCTCACAGTCCTCCCTGAAGACCAGAACGGCGCGGGAATACGAGAGGAACGCGCGGAGGAGCAAAGGTAAGTGAATTGACACAGGGGGGACTTACTATATGGGGGACTTACTATATGGGGAATGAATTACTATATGGGGGACTTACTATATGGGGAATGAATTACTATATGGAGGACTTACTATATGGGGAATGAATTACTATATGGGGGACTTACTATATGGGGGTCTTACTATATGGGGAATGAATTACTATATGGGGGACTTACTATATGGGGAATGAATTACTATATGGAGGACTTACTATATGGGGAATGAATTACTATATGGGGGACTTACTATATGGGGAATGAATTACTATATGGGGGACTTACTATATGGGGAATGAATTACTATATGGGGGACTTACTTTATGGGGAATGAATTACTATATGGGGGACTTACTTTATGGGGAATGAATTACTATATGGGGGACTTACTTTATGGGGAATGAATTACTATATGGGGGACTTACTATATGGGGAATGAATTACTATATGGGGGACTTACTATATGGGGAATGAATTACTAGATGGGGGACTTACTATATGGGGGACTTACTATATGGGGGATGAATTACTATATGGGGGATGAATTAATATGGGGGATGAATTACTATGTGGGGGATGAATTACTATGTGGGGGATGAATTACTATATGGGGGATGAATTACTATATGGGGGATGAATTACTATATGGGGGATGAATTACTATGTGGGGGATGAATTACTATATGGGGGGTATGAATTACTATATGGGGGATGAATTACTATATGGGGGATGAATTGCTATATGGGGGACGAATTGCTATATGGGGGACGAATTGCTATATGGGGGATGAATTACTATGGGGGATGAATTACTATATGGGGGATTAATTACTATGCTTACTATGGGGGAATATTACTATACTTACTATGGATGACACATACACATCATTCATCTACTCTTGGTCCGGCCCCCGGGTCCAATATATGAACCCATTGCGGCCCTCAAGTCAAAAAGTTTGCCCACCCCTGGGCTAGACTCATCCACCTCACCAACTACTCCACCTCTGCCACCCCCCTCTGCCTCTCCCTCCACTGGCTCCCGATTGCCCAACGCATCAAATTTAAACTTCTAACCCTGACCTACAAAGCCATTCACAACACTGCCCCTGACTACCTCACCAACCTGATCCCCAAGTACCGCCCTACCCGTACCCTTCGCTCCTCACAGGACTTCCTTCTATCCTGCTCCCTGGTCTCCTCCTCCCATGCACGACTGCAAGACTTCTCCAGGTCCTCCCCCATCCTCTGGAACTCACTGCCCCAATCCATCAGACTGTCGCCTTCCCTCCTCACATTCAGGCGCTCCCCTTAAAACACATCTCTTCAGGGAAGCCTACCCCACCCTCACCTAACGGCCATCCTCCCTCATTCCTCCCACCACTTCATTCCCCTCAGCCACTTCCTACTGTACCACTACCCCCTCCCTCCTAGATTGTAAGCTCGAAAGAGTAGGGCCCTCTTACCCCTCGTATGTTGTTTGTTATTGTTGTACTGTGCCATGTATTGTCCCCCCCCCTATTGTACAGCGCTGAGCAAACCCTTTGGCGCTATATAAACTCGATGTAATAATAATAATAATAATGCACAAAATCTGCAGTGCAGTGAAGGTCATAGTCATCTGGGAATTTTGCTGTAGCGAGATACTACAGGCAGGCACACATTATGTAATGTTCTTTCCTTCAACCACAGTTGAAAGAAAATTGCTGGATTCTACTATCAACATGGTTAGTGTTGATGGGGAAATAACTTCTACTTTGCTATTGTATTATAACAGCAGAAAGTTCTCTAGCCATTGGAATACAATGATCACTACTAGCTGCTAAAGCCGCCGGCAGTGATTGAGCAGAAAAAACCCAGCAGGCTGGTTGTACTAAATTCAATCAATTGACTTCAGTACGACCAGCCTGCCCAAAGGTGGATTGAAATTTGCCCGTTTCCTGTTGAACTGGTCAAATTTTGATCCGTCTACAGCCGGCTTAAGCAAAAATCTACAGGCTGCAGAAGCAAAGAGGCGGCTTTTGCCTGTATATTTATTACTCGCCACCCCCCCAGTATCGTCAATCCATTCCTTCGGTTGGAATAGTCATCTCATATAAAATCAATCACACGCTACCATAATATTTTTATTCTGATTATCACCAGGAAAATAAGTGCTATCCTGTGTTAGAGGTGGTCCTAGCAGAGAGTAGTTACTTGGGGAACAGAAACTGTGTGCCTGCAGGCTTCAGTGAAGAAAAACTTTCCCTAGTCTCAAACTTCTGGCCATCCTATGCATAAGGTTATATTTTCCTTTAGAGCTGGGCTTTTCCAGTACTGGGGTTGTGGCTGGCATTTCTGTATGTTGGCCTTTTTGTCAGTTGGGAATTTTTCCAGCATAGGTAGCAAGAAGTGGTAGACAACAGCAATATCATCAGTCTCCAGTGTTTTTAGTTATGGGTTGATTCCTCCTTTAACTAGCTGCCGACCGCAGATAGCCGAATGACGGCTGCACTGCGGCCGGCCAGTTCTGAGTGGACGTCATATGACGTCCTCCCAGAACGCGCTCTCCTGCGCGCCCCAGGGGGCGCGCACCCGGCGATCTCCATGATCGCTGTGTCCTACGGACACAGCTGATCACGTGATGTGGTAAAAGGCAAATCACAGTGGCCTTTTACCACGTGATCAGCGGTGTCCAATGACACGCTGATCAGAGGGAAATGCAAGTGCCGGTTCTCGGCTGCACTTTCCTCACGCTGTCAGATCGTGAGGAAAGTACTGCCGAGAACCGGCAGTTGTCAGAGCGGGGATCGGCACCGATCAGCAGGGCACTGATGATCAGTGCCCTGATGATCGGTGCCCAGCAGTGCCACCCGCAAGTTCCGCCCAGCAGTGCGCCCACTAGCTCCGCCCACCTGTGCCCAGCAGTGCACCCACCTGTGCCACTCTGCAGTGTCACACACCTGTGCCACTCTGCAGTGTCACACACCTGTGCCCAGAAGTGCCACCCACCTGTGCCCACCAGTGCCACCCACCTGCGCCCACCCACCAGTGCTGCCCACCAGTGCCACCCACCAGTGCAGCCCAGCAGTGCTGCCAGTCAGTGCCACCAGTCAGTGCCCAGGGGTTGTGCCAGTCAGTGCCGCCAGTCAGTGCCCAGCAGTGATGCCAGTCAGTGCCGTCTATCAGTACCCATCATCAGTGCCGCCTATCAGTGCTGCATATTAGTGCCGCCTATCCGTGACACCTCATCAGTGCTGTCTATCAGTGCCGCCTAGATAGAAACTAGAAAATAGAAACAAAGAAACTTTTTTTTTTTTTTTTTTTTTTCAAATTTTTTGCACTTTTTTTTATTTATAGCACAAAAAGTAAAGCGCCCAGTGGCGATTAAATACCACCAAAAGAAAGCTCTATTTGTGAGAAAAAAATGATCAAAATTTCATATGGGTACAATGTTGCATGACCGCGCAATTGTCAATCAAAGTGCGGCAGCGCTGAAAGCTGAAAATTGGCCTGGTAAATAAGGGGGTATAAGTGCCTGGTAGGCAAGTGGTTAAAGGATAAGTTCACCTTTCTGAACATGTTAGGTCTGTATTTAGGGTGAGACCTGTTAAGCATCTGCTTCCTCTCCCCCCAATACCCCAGCCCCGTGACAGTGGGCGAAGGTTCTACTCCCAGCAGCCGCTGTCACATTTTGAAAACATTATGGCTGTATGAGGCTCTGCCCACACAGCCACATCATTCAGAGTTATGTGGATGAATGAGCTGCAACTTCTGGCTTGTAGTTCTCAATTAACTGCAAGGGCACTGGAAGTGCTGTCGTAGTTCATTGATCTTCCTGCTCTCAGGTAACTGCCTGCCTGTATGGGAAGGTACAGGCAGACCGCTATCCTGAGAGTCTGCAGGAGCCCGACATTGCACCCACGGTCTGCTGATCGTAGGTGCAATGCTTTACAGGCTCCTTAAGAATCAATTTAGATTAAATGCACATTTTACCTGCAAAAAACAAAATAAGAGTATGATGTAGCAGCTGCTTTTGATCTTTCTTTTTCAGGCTTTTTTTTTTTTTTTTTTTTTTTTTTTTTTAAATCACCACTTGGTTGATATTACCAGTAGCTCCCTTATTCTTCTAGGGTGACAATGCTCACTCCCAATGCTGTAACTATGGAGGAGCAGTGTTGTCACTCTAGAGCAGAAAGTTCTACTACTACAGAATAAACCCCCACCCGCTCTCCCCTTTTCTCAACTCAGTGACAGAGGGAAGGTGTTATCTATTCTCTCAACTACAGAACACCTCTGATAGCAGGCAGCATAGTCTGCCAGCAAAGGAAATGATCATTTCTGGCAGGATCAAGAGGTTTATCTTTTCTGTACTGTCATTGTAAAGATAAAATGTGAAATGTGCGTGAGACATGTACAGAATGCTTTGTTTTAGTTTGATTATGACCACACATACAATTTAAATGTTCATATTAATCATCATTTTAGTGGGGACATAGGATAATGGAGAGTTTTCTCTGGATATAGTCTTATCTTATCTCTACTTTGTTCACAGATTCCATACTCTTCGTCATCACCTGGCACATATGTGGTAAGTTGGATAAACTGTTCCGATTTTTACTTGGTTTACTCGATCACTGACAAGTTCTCCTTGGCTGTTGCACGCAGTTGGCAAACCAACTGATCTCACTTCCTCCTCCCTTCTCTAGTACAGCATAGCTTACCTCTTCACACTCAGTGAGTCTTTCTTATCAACAGATACTTTTTTGAGCTTTGAATGAGTAGTTCTAAAGCCGTCTATAGGTACATGACCTCTTTCAAAAATGATGGGTGATCAGACATCTGTCCACCCTCGAATGACACTGACACTCCAGGATGATCTGCAGTACCTGACTCCACTACTGCAGTCATTTTTACCCCATAGGAGGAAGAGTTGGACCCCGATCACACTGATAGGATATCTACTTTTTAAAGAGCTTCTCCCCCTTCCAACAGGGGTGCTCTTGGTTTCCTTCTTGGGAGAGGGATTGTGTCAGAAATTGAGGGGGTGTAACTAACTATCGCCAAGGATTTATGGGACCCAAAAAAAGTCAAATGACCTAAATATAAAGCTGCCCGTACACTGATGGGACTTTTTTCCCATTCAGCCTGCAGATTCCAAAGGTGGGGGAATTTTTCACTGCAGTTTTTTATTTTGACAGCTTGCCCTACTGGCTGTCAAAATATCCAAAGAGTATCTGCATCTGATTGGATGCAGCTGCTTTTTTTGCTCAATCTTTCCAGCAGGGGCCTTCGACCTTTGTCGAACAGAGTGAGGCTGTGCTATCCAATGAGCGAATTTTGTCTGGTTCCTTGGGAACAGATTTAATGTGCACAGCGTATGGCCAGCTTTTTACAGTACAACGACTAATGAATTATGTGTCATTATGTTTGATTTCAAAGTCACTACCCAAACCCTTTTGAGGTCTAGCTTTTCTGTAGAGCTGTGGCTTTTGTAAGGTGATTCCATACATATATATAATTTTTCACTGTAATATACAAGCAGATTGCTGGTGAAGAGCTAGATAAAAAGAATGTTTGCTGTGGGACCTTTATGGTGGCCCATCATAGTAGCAGGATCTGAATAAGATCTTTTCACCATATGGGTTCAGTCGTCTGTTCTGGATGGTTCATAATTCATATATACATAGGTCGAACGATGTAGGTGTGCCCGCTCCTCTGATGATCGTGCTGGAGATATTTTAATGTGGTTTATATAGCGCACTGAATGTTGCAACAATGACTGTAGGTGTTTGGTAATCCTAGCCACTGAATTATTCTTTGGTCAGTTGTTGAAACATTTTAAAACCAAAACTTGTTTGGTCTACTTGCAGGGGCCCCCAGGTGGTGGAGGACCTCCAGGAACACCGATCATGCCCAGTCCTGCAGGTGTGTATATTTGCTACCTATGAATTGTTGTGAACCTGACAATGAACTCTGACCTGTTTATTCGCTCTAACAACATAGCTGGTCTATCCTTGCAATATAAAGTACACCTGTTGTAAGGGAAATAAAGTAGTTGCTGGCCTCTTTTGAATAATGCTCGTTGCCTGCCAGTTGTGCGAACTCTGGTTCAGTACTTTCTGAATTCAAAACCTGGAGCAAGTGCTTGGATCAGTAAAATTGCAGATTTTTGTTTTTATACCATTTTCAGAGTGGCATCTTAAAAGTAGAGAATACCGGTTTAACAGACAGGTGACTGCCATTTTCAGGAACAGTGGTCAGCAATGGTATCCTCCGTGTCTCTCGTGATGGTTTCCTTTCAAGATGTCATTCAAGCAATGGGCTTAGTCACATGGTTTCACTCTTGCATTCATGTTGATGGTGCTTTTGAGATAGAGATATATATAATTTATTTTTTTTTTTAATTTATACATTTTTATATTTTTATTAAAATTTTGCATTGAAAGCTAAATTATTCCCATGATGGGGGGGGGGGGGGGTTGTCCAAGATAATGACAATCACCAAACCTACCCAACTTCTAAGTCTCCAAAAGGACTTGGTTAGTAGACGCAAGCCAGGGGGCCAAGACCTTGGTGAATTTTTGGGTCACCGTTTACTGTCTTAGGATAACCTAGATATAGGTAACATTGCATTGACTAAATACATGATGGTGCTATTGTTTGAGTCGATAACAAGTGATGATAAACCGTAATAGTACTGCTTATGCTTTTTTTGACTGATGTGCTGGACGAAGGCCCTGTTTACACTTGTGCGCTTTTGGTGCAATGGGTTTAAAAGGAAAAAAAAAAAAAAAAACCCAAAAATCATGCTTCCTGCATCTTTTGTTGCACTTTCATCAAAACGTATTTTATATAGAGGTCAGTAGCAATGCACCTAAAGTTTACCATACAGATGTGAATCGGGCCTTACAGTTTTTCATATCCTGATAGCTCAGGAATTGCCTTTTGCACATTCCCGCTGTCACAAGTGTAGAATTGCTTGCATTTGATCATACCGTCTTTAAATATGAACATTCTGGATTTCATGCAGTCACTGATGCTTTTTCATTTTTTTGTAGAATCGACAAATTCAAGTGACAACATTTACACCATGATGAATCCAGGACCGCCCACAGGGAACCGGTCAAATGTAAGTAGACAAATTCCTGGGGGGTCCAGTGTGTGGCCACGTTGGGATTATTGTTCCTGGTGTACGTATGCCAGCATTGACAATCCAAGCGTAACATTGACATTAGGCAGTTTGTGAAATTGGAGAGAAAAGTAATGCTTGTGTGTTTTACTTTAGTTCCCAATGGGACCTGGTTCTGATGGGCCTATGGGCGGAATGGGTGGAATGGAACCTCATCATATGAACGGGTCATTAGGTAAGTCACACACCTTAGTAATTTCCTATCACATTTATGTTTAAATTGTAGTTTGGTTTATATGAATGCCAAGATCTGTGACTTGTACTGATTATAATTCATTTTATTGGTTTCCCAAAAGGGTCTGGAGACATGGATGGACTTCCCAAGGTGAGGAGCTGCATGTTTTTTGTGTTTTTTTTTTTTTTTTTTTTTTCTTTTTTTTTTTTGCATACTATCAAATGCAAAACGTTTTATTAGCAGTATTATACCAGAAAACCTAATCGGACACTGTCTGTGGAGTTTCTAGTGAGCAGTGTTCTCTTGAATCAGTAATGTGTAGACTTGGAGCTACATTTGTCGAATTGTTTTTGAAGGCACATGGGTTCTCTTCTTTCTGCTTCAATACATGGTGTCTGATATGTACATACATGTCTCAGGTTATTGATTCGCTATGCAGTGAAGGTAAATACAATGGATATAAAAAGTGTACACACCTCTGTAAAAATGGTAGGGTTTTGAGATGTAAAAAAATCAGACCAAGATAAATCATGTCAGAATTCTTTCCACCTTCCTAATGTGATCTATAATCTGTTCAATTGAAAACTAAAATCTTCAGGATGCTGCCACAAAAAAAGAGGAATTTCACCTTTCAGCACGACAATGACCCAAAGCATACCGCCAAAAACAAAATGGCTTCACCAGAAAATGATCAATGTTTTGGTATGGTCCAGCCAGATCCTAGACCTGAATTTGATTGAAAATCTGTGGGATGACCTAAAGAGGACTGTGGCATGCTGGTAGATTCTCTACCTCAAAAGACTGAGTACTGTCACAAAATTACAAGGTGCTTCAGGTCCAAGAAATTCATCCACTTTGTAAAAAATGAAGGCACACTATGAGTTAATCCCAAGAATGTGCATGACATCTCCTGGACTTCTTTCTATTATTTACATCCGACAGGTTTATTGTTCTGCTGTCATTTTGGGATCTGACAGGAGAGAAACGCACAACTATACCTGCCCCCTCCACTTTGCTGCCCATTCACATAAGCCTTTGTATTTTGTGAATGTATTCACATACAGTCAGGTCCATAAATATTGGGACATCGACACAATTCTAACATTTTTGGCTCTATACACCACCACAATGGATTTGAAATGAAACGAACAAGATGTGCTTTAACTGCAGACTGTCAGCTTTAATTTGAGGGTATTTAAATCCAAATCAGGTGAACGGTGTAGGAATTACAACAGTTTGCATATGTGCCTCCCACTTGTTAAGGGACCAAAAGTAATGGTACAGAATAATAATCATAAATCAAAATTTCACTTTTTAATACTTGGTTGCAAATCCTTTGCAGTCAATTACAGTCTGACGTCTGGAACGCATAGACATCACCAGACGCTGGGTTTCATCCCTGGTGATGCTCTGCCAGGCCTCTACTGCAACTGTCTTCAGTTCCTGCTTGTTCTTGGGGAATTTTCCCTTCAGTTTTGTCTTCAGCAAGTGAAATGCATGCTCAATCGGATTCAGGTCAGGTGATTGACTTGGCCATTGCATAACATACCACTTCTTTCCCTTTAAAAACCTTTTGGTTGCTTTTGCCGTATGCTTTGGGTCATTGTCCATCTGCACTGTGAAGCGACGTCCAATGAGTTGTGAAGCATTTGGCTGAATATGAGCAGATAATATTGCCCGAAACACTTCAGAATTCATCCTGCTGCTTTTGTCAGCAGTCACATCATCAATAAATACAAGAGAACCAGTTCCATTGGCAGCCATACATGCCCACGCCATGACACTACCACCACCATGCTTCACTGATGAGGTGGTATGTTTAGGATCATGAGCAGTTCCTTTCCTTCTCCATACTCTTCTCTTCCCATCACTCTGGTACAAGTTGATCTTGGTCTCATCTGTCCATAGGATGTTGTTCCAGAACTGTGAAGGCTTTTTTAGATGTCGTTTGGCAAACTCTAATCTGGCCTTCCTATTTCTGAGGCTCACCAATGGTTTCCATCTTGTGGTGAACCCTCTGTATTCACTCTGGTGAAGTCTTCTCTTGATTGTTGACTTTGACACACATACACCTACCTCCTGGAGAGTGTTCTTGATGTGGCCAACTGTTGTGAAGGGTGTTTTCTTCACCAGGGAAAGAATTCTTCGGTCATCCACCACAGTTGTTTTCCTTGGTCTTCCGGGTCTTTTGGTGTTTCTGAGCTCACCGGTGCGTTCCTTCTTTTTTAAGAATGTTCCAAACAGTTGCTTTGGCCACGCCTAATGTTTTTGCTATCTCTCTGATGGGTTTGTTTTGTTTTTTCAGCCTAATGATGGCTTGCTTCACTGATAGTGACAGCTCTTTGGATCTCATCTTGAGAGTTGACAGCAACAGATTCCAAATGCAAATAGCACACTTGAAATGAACTCTGGACCTTTTATCTGCTCATTGGGATAAATTGGGATAATGAGGGAATAACACACACCTGGCCATGGAACAGCTGAGAAGCCAATTGTCCCATTACTTTTGATCCCTTAACAAGTGGCAGGCACATATGCAAACTGTCGTAATTCCTACACCGTTCACCTGATTTGGATGTAAATGCCCTCAATTTAAAGCTGACAGTCTGCAGTTAAAGTACATCTTGTTTGTTTCATTTCAAATCCATTGTGGTGGTGTATAGAGCCAAAAATGTTAGAATTGTGTCGATGTCCCAATATTTATGGACCGGACTGTAATACCAAGGCTTCAGTTACCGGGCAAGAGGAGGGGAGGGGCAGGCATAACAACTGCAGCTTCTCTACTGTTGAAGATCTGGGATCTGCTGGGATCAGAAGGATCAGTTTAGACTCCTGGAAATACAGCAAAACCAATGGAGTACTACAAACTTGTCAGATATAAACGATAGAAGTCCAGGAGATGTCATGCACCTCACTTTACTTAACTCATGGTGTACCTTCACTTTTTACAAAGGAACTGAATTCTTGGAATTCAATTTTAAGGGTATGCAGATTTATGCAACCACTTCATTTGTAAGATTTTTATTTTTCCCCCTTTTTAAAGGTTTCAGCTTGTTTTTAATTGAATTGCACAGATTATAAGTCAAATTAAAAGTGAGAATAATTCAGAAGTGATTTATCTTGGCCTGATTTTTTTTTTTACATCTTAAAAACCTGACATTTTTTACCAAGAGTGTGTAGACTTGTTATATCAACTGTATATTAGCCACAGAGCTTATAACCTCAAAGTCCCTACCAGCAGCTTCATTGCTTCTTCCCAATGTGTTTTGTTTATTTTTTATAACCATCCACAACCTTTGTTTTTTGAGAAGATGTCAATAGGATGAGTGTTGATGGGCAGGAGGAGGAGGATGGCAGATCAGCTGCAGTAGGGTGTGGGGATGATTGTGTAATGGCACAGTGGCGGGGAGGTTTCAGGCTTGGTGATCACAGTGCATTGGTGGGTAAGGGGTTGGTAGCAGGCATAATGGTGAGTGGTGCCTCCACAAGGAGAATCCGCAGTTCCCCCAGCCATTGTATGTTACAGTGGCGAATCCTGGGGCAGTACTTCTTCAAATATCTTTCAAATCTAAACAACATGTTGTATTGAAAAAAATGTTTGTTTTCTTTCACAGAATTCCCCAAACAACATAAGTGGCATTAGCAACCCTCCAGGCACACCTCGAGACGATGGAGAGTTAGGAGGAAATTTCCTTCATTCCTTCCAGAATGACAATGTGAGTGTTCTGCTGACAGATAACTATTCTCTAGCAAAAGGCTTTGTATAAAAAGTCATACTTTACAATGTATTAATATGTAGATGATGTTTTTATTTTAAAACCTTGGTGAGTATAAGTGTGGAAAAGGAGATTGGAGTAGGGGGGGATTTAGATGTTGTCCAAAGCTTGAAATACTGACTCTTCAGAGTCAGTCATGACATGCTTTGTGGGTTAGAATATTGACCTCCAATTTCTTGCCAGTCTTTCAACCTAAAGTATCCAAAGTGAAAAATATTTTGGCATTCGATATAGGGTAGAGAATGGTTAAAAACCCCCCCCCCCCCCCCCCCCCCCCTTTTTTTTGCTAATGGGAAGACATCCCTTCAATTCCTGTCCCGCGGACACAACAGGAAATGGGAGGACATCGTCTCTTGTCAACAGAACAAGCATTTGACCTTGTGTGTTGTATGGTGTATGCCAGTTTTTCAGATGGAATAAAGAAGCTACAAACCGTTGTGCAGTCCTCTGATTATTCAGAGACTATAAATGGTCTGTAACAATCCGGATCTGTACCTGGCATTTAGCAGCCAAGAGTAGACTAATGTGGAGCAGCATCAGTTTTACCATACATGCCACGGTAATACGCTGGTCTGGGCAGTTTGGCCAGGAATGAGAACAGAAATATTGTCATGTTAGTATTGATACCATCAAAAATAATGTCATCTGGCAAATATTATTGTGTGATCAGTTCATTTTTATGATGTCTGTTGTGAATTCAGTCGCATGAACCAGTTTATTGAAACTAAAGCGGTTGCTTATGATAACTAGTTGGGTATGGTCTTGCATTGTCTAATCCCTCCGTCTCCTTTTCATAGTACTCTCCCAGCATGACTATGAGCGTGTGACACCAGGGACAACTCTTCACTCAGCTGCTGCTTTGGAAGATTACTGAGATTGCCGGAGACCGTTGTCTGGAGTTGCAGAAGAGGATCAAACAGCTCCTTCAGTTTGGTTTCATGCAATAAAAAGCCAAAACTTTTTATTCCATCAAACACAGTTCAAAAACTGTCAAGACGAGAGAAAATCCTTCTCAGAGGATTTATATCTGTACATAAAAACTTTTTTTTCTTTTTTTTTTTTTTTGTTTCATTTTTTTTTTTAATTTGCAAGAGAAGGAAATTTCAAGTTATGAATATGATTGCTGTGTACTTTTTATATTCCCCCCCCCTCTCCCATTGTTCTATGTCTGTGACGTGATATTCAAGGAGAATAGCTCAAATAGGAAAATTCATGTGTCTTTAGTTTTTAGCTTTATTTTTTTTGTTGAATGGACTGAGGTTTTTAGTTGCCCACTTCCCTCCAAAGAGATTTTAGTGCAGTCCCGGACCTCTGGAAAAAAATTTTTTGTTTTTCCACCGTGCAGAAGCGGTCAGAACTGCACCTCTTTACCTCATACAAACACTTGATGATCTGTTTAAACACCTAAGACTATGTATGATTTTTCTTTTTACCTCTGCAAGAGAGAAAATTTACCACGAGCTCCCAGAATCAAGAGGACACACTCGGTGCACAAAGGGATTTTATAGGACTATGCGACCTGCAACATGCCGCATTTTTATGAACTGGTTGCAGACTCTGGACGGGAGGAAATACTCATTTGTTTGGCGGCTCGTGTGTTTTGGAGCTTCTGGCGCCACAAAACAAAGACCCTCCCACATACACTCCTACTGCATAGCTGCCACCAACCTTACAGATACAACTGCCTGGTCTGTTTCCTGTCACACCATTGTTGGCCCAGAACAACTTCAGCTGATAACACAACACTGTATTTTATTTTATTTTTCTGAGTAACTGAAAATTGGGAACTTGGAAAGCACCTACACTTGACTTGGCTGGTCATTCGCTCGGTAAAAGGGACAGTTTGTGTAGGATGTTGGAGTTTCTGATCATATTGTCAGGTGTTCCTTTTTTTTTTTTTCTCTTTATTGTCCTTTTTATTTGTCAGGAGTGACTGGAAGGAAGGAACAATAGCAGCTCCTCTCAGGACATTGTTAAAAGAGAAATTCCTTGTGTATTCGAAAAGGGATAGTTAAATTATTGTCTCTTGGTATGGGACAGCTTGGAATGATATGGTAATTTTTTCCGCCTCCATGCTGTAATAAATTTAATAAATTCAAACAAATATCATGGTTTTTCCTGTTTTTTATCAATTGGAAAAGCATATACATGGGAGCTAAAAATGTAATGGAAATTGCTATTCGTGTTCTTTTAGAGGTATTTTAAAAAATAAGGTAGGCCATAGTAGACTTGAAAACTGAACGTTCGATCAATTGAAAAGTGAAAATGGTGTATGTGATTGTGCCATCATTTGTTTTGTTTTTTTGAAACAAAACCAGAATGTTTGATCAGGCACTTTCGATTGTGACACGAAAATCCCATGTCGCAGCTGGCACACTAATGTGAAAAACGAACGACCAGGAATTTGTTTGGTTTTCGACTCTTCTATGGCCTACTTAAGATATGAGAGGATACCAGTAGGTTGAATCACCTTTCCAATATCAGTCAATATTCTTGACCTTAGGGTTATATTGCCACCTTCAAGAGTAGGACACTAGGCAGAAAGAAAAACAAATACAACACCACCTATGGGCAGTCTGGGCTGGTGGTAGTAAATGGGCAGTCTGGGCTGGTGGTAGTAAATGGGCAGTCTGGGCTGGTGGTAGTAAATGCCCTCTCTGCTATAGTCAGCTCAGATTTTGGATTATCTCCTAATGGTACGTTGATCAGAAACTGGCCTTGAGTTCTATGAATGGCTAGGTTTCTGCCTTTGCGGTTTTCTTTTCATCACCCTTTGGCCATGTATCAACCACATCCGTGGTTCGTATCTTCTGAAGGTTTGAAGAGATGGTCAATAGCTGTGAATTGTGTCCAGCTGGCAAATAGTCTAGTATTTATCTCTAGAAGACCATAAGCAAACCGATTTTCCCCTAACTTCCTGTCAAATTGACTACAGAACATTTTTTATCTTTTTGTAGAGGATATTGTATTGTAAAGGAAGAAAAAGATAAAGTACATAGCGTCCACTGATGTTTCAGGGCTACAAGGGACCTCTGGATGGCAAAGTGATGTCTTCTCACCTTTCTGAGAAATGTCAGTGGATATTATGTACTGCCATTTTTGGGGGAGGGGGGGGGGGTGCTACTTTTGCCTTGTGGCAGCAATAAATCTTTGAGGTACATTGCCATTGTGTTGGCTTGTAATTGTCACCATAAGCAAAACACCTCAACATTGGAACATTGGACATATGGATAAGGTGCTGGATGGATTTGATGGTTTTCTAGTTGATTCTGACTCTGCCAGTTACAGATGTTCCCTCAATGCCTGTCAAAGTGACAAAGTGGGAGGAAATCTCCCTAATGGAGCCCTGATTAGCAGTAATATGGTTTCTGTCCCTTCCACACTGTATCTAAAGCTTAAATGTTTATTTTGGCAGGACATGGACTTTACATTTTGATAAATACCATGTTCTCTGATCTTTACTCATGCTAAGCCTAGAGTGGTTGTAAACCGTTGTATTAAGGACATAATGTGCTAGTATACAGTAGATCACTTACTAGCACATTATGAAAGACTTGCGTTAAAACAGATCCCTCCAGCAGTGTGCTGTCACCGCTGACAGGACTTCTATCGTCACGTGGACTTTTCTGGATTCATTTAGTAAAACTGGATCATGCAAAATGCGGTGCAGCTCAGCATAGAAAGCAATCAGCTTCCAGATTTTATTGCCAAAGCTTAACTGAACAAGCTGAAGTTAGAAGCTGATTGGCTATCATGCATAGTTGCACCAGATTTTGCACTTTAGTTTTAGTAAAAACCCCAGAGTGTCTAACCCTTTCCCCACTCTATACAAAACTAAATTGAAAGGATTTGATGTTGTTTTTTCCCCTTAAAGTCTTTCAGGACAGCATTCTTAAATGACCTCGGCTCCTCCCCACCAGAGGAAATGTCCCCTCCACCCAGATTAAAATGCGGCCTCAGTAATGGTGTTTCCTCCGATGGAGAGACACAAATGGAAGCTCTTCCAGGATATCTACGGAGCTATGCTTACCTGGGTGGAGGGGGAGGACCCGGGATGCAGTGCGTTCTGAGGGTTTTACTCTCCAGTAGTGGGGAGGAGAGGGCCAGGTTCAGTCCTTTGGGGCAGAGGAGGGGGGTCCCTTACCTCCAGTACTCCTACCTGGCCTCCGCCTGGGGAGGAGAGAAGTGTCGGGCATCTGCTGGTCACTGGCCCAGGGGGGTCCTCAGGAGGGGTGTCGCTGCTCTGTGGAGACGCCAGCGGTGGAGCTTTCGCCAGGCCAGATGGTGGGGGACGTCCTTTTCGGTTGAGGGTGGGACTTACTCTTGGTGCATGGCTTCCAGCTGCGGTGCCGTGATAGTGGGCGGGAGAGTGGGTTGGTGCGGGGAGCTGCAACTTGCAAAGGCATACTCTGGGACAGACAACCACGCGGGGACCATGTCCAGAGCGGAGGCACCGGGACCAGGTGACGCCTGCACCTGCCAGACACAGGTAGGCTGCTCAGAGGGGCCTTTTCTCTACCTGTTGGGCCCCAAGCTCCATGGGGCTTTCTTTAGTCCTCCTGGTGGTCGGAGGGACAGGGCGGGGGGGGGTCCCAGGCTAAGGAGATTCCCACGCCTCTCCCTGGGGGGGGGGGGGGGGGGTGCTGAAAGGCTATGGTGTAATTGGCAGCTTTTCCTGTGTGTTTGGTTCTAGATGAAAGCCAGAGAGAAGCCCTAGCCGCACCACAGGATGAAAAAGGAGTGCCTCTCTTGTAGGGTGATACTTAGACTTCTGGACCAAGGTGCTACATGGGTCTTGTATTGAGGGCCTTATTAAGGAGGAAGCTCCTTCAGTGGGACTTGGTTAAGTCAGTTAAGCAGTTTTAGGATCCTGGTAGAGGATATCTCTCTGCCCCAAGCACAGAGCTCCCCCCAGCAGGTTTCCCCAGTGACCAGTAAGTCCCACTAGCGAGTCAAGAAGCCCCTCTAGGTATAAGTTATCTCTGGAGAAGGTGGATGATTTACTGGGAGCCATTTATACCACCTTGGAGATTAGAAGCTAGGAAGCCCCTTACGTTGCATGATTAGTTGTACCAGAGTATGAGGGAACAAAAACATAGTTTTCCCAGTTCACAAAGCTTTAGTGGAATCCAAAAAAAAAGAGGAGTGGCAGGACCCAGAGAGGAAACCGTTCTTTGCAAAATCCCTCAAATGCAGGTTCCCTTTCAACAAGGATTTGCCCTCTGTGTAGAATAATAGCATTAAGCTTGATGCTGCGTTCTCCCAAGTAGCCAGAAAGACTGACTTTGCGTTCAAGGATATGGGAATGTTGTCTGATAGCATGGACAGGAGGGCGGATTCCCTTCTTAAGAAATCCAAGGATTCCACACTATCCAACTTAAAGCCAGCCATGGCCACTACAGTGGTAGCCGAGAACATGGAATACTGGCTCATACAGCTACAGGCCCATATTGTGGCAGGTACCCCAAAAGGAAAAAATTCTAGCCTCCTTTCCTATCTTACTGCAGGGGGTCGATTTATATTGCAGATGCCTCAGCAGTATCAGTGAGGATGACGGCAAGGTTGGGGGCCTTGACTAACTCTGCCCGCAGAGCCCTGTGGCTTAAGACTTGGCAGGAAGACGCTGCCTCCAAGGTTAAGCATTGTGGCATCCCATTCACAGGGGTTCTTCTTTTTCGGCCCAGTCTTGAGACTGTGTTGGATAGCCCCACTGACAAGAAAAAGGCTTTTCCACTTAAGAAAAAAAAACCCATGCGCAGGGGATGAAGAGATTTCACACCCAAAAGCAGGTACAAGCCAGTAGGCCAGAGAAGCAGAAGAGATCCTG